GGTCTTCTCACAATTGCTTGTTTCTAGTTGGAAGAAAGGGGGTTGGGGGGAAAAAGAATAGACGTGGCTCCACCAGCCATTGTTCCACATGTCCCACATTGTTCATCGGGGACACGCTGCCTCCCACAGCAGAAGAAATGGGTACCGAAGAGAGAAGGTGGCTATGCAGGGAACAGCTAAAAATTCCTGAAAGACGTTTCTAGTCCTCATGGATTCAGTGACATATTTAAAACAGTTGTGATACTGTTCATGCAGGTTCGGCCTCGTATTCATGCCAGATGATCTCTGTGTAACGGCACTAAAGTTTTGAGACCTTCCCGTGGACACTGCTGTAGCCTCTGTCCACATCGGCATGAACACACTCCCTTATTTGTCTGCCCTAATCCTGAATGAGAAACATCCCCCCTGATCCTTGCAAGTACAGCCTAGAATCCAGTTGGCTTTTGTCTGGAGAAAGAATGAGGGTGGGTGGATATCTGTCTGCCAATTTCGGCCTTGGGCTGGCCCTGAGTTGCAGTCAGATTGTTTGCACACAATTCTAAACCAATATGTGAAAAAGCTGCATTTTGGTGCATGTAACAATTTAACTCAGGCTTTGTTCTCTCTCTCCCCCCCCCTTTATGCAAGCAAGAAGGCAAGCCAGGAAAAAGATAAGTTTCATGTGACATTTGGACTCAATGTTCTGGATTAATGCACACAAATAGTAGGATTTGTGAACCATCAACAAACGTTGGCTTAAAGCTGGGAGTCTACTCTATTTAACTCCACTGTACTGATATCCAATGAGTTTCTTCTATTTCTTCTTTTCCTTTTAAACTATAAAGGGATGTTATGCCATTTAGGTTCCTTAGCAAAGGGCAGGGTCCTTCAGGGTAGTTCTGCTGATAGGGTAACCAGGAAAGAGAACATTGGTTCACCTTTAAAACCTACTCAAGAAAGTTGGCAAGCCCTCTGGATCAGGTTTTAGAGTAGCAGAGAGGGCTGCAGAGATAAAAAAGGAAGGAGGGTCCCAGTGTGTGTAAGATAAAGCAGATTTAGGTTAAGGCTTTGAATCTGTTTGGATAGAACAAGGGTGGACTTGATTTAAATCAAGTTGATAGTGATTTAAATCATAATTTAAATTAAAAATGGATGTTTTTTGACAATTTAAATAAAAAACTCAAATTTTGTGATTTAAATCAGGTTGATTTTTTTTAAAAGCATTAATTTTTATCCACCCTCAATGGAACTTTGACCTCCATTAAGTGCAGTGACATTGATTGTCAAGTATTCCACCAGCTTCTTTTGAAATCTGGAAAAACTTTTCATGTTTATACAGCTTGTAAAGCTGACATGGTGAACTATTTCAAGAATGGATGGGAATGTGTGACCCTCCAGATGTTGTTAGACTGCTCCTCACAAACAGCTGTATTAGCCAAGGCTAATGGGAACTGATGTTAAGCAATCTATGGAAAGCCAGAGGTTCTGGTTTGCAATTTGTTTACAAAATGTGACTGTTCTGCTAAATCAAATCCCTGATCTGAGGTATTGTGAGGGACAGGGAATTCTGGAGGTTCCCCCTCCCCCAGTTCATTATTTTCTGGAAGAACATACTGCATTGTAGGCAAGAATGCCTATAAATTGGAACTTTGTTTGAGAACCAGTTACTTGAAGTTGGAGACTGTCACTGATCCAAACGTTCCTGTAAAGACTCTGCGAAGTTACTGTGTTTGTCCAAGGTGGTTGTTCTGTTACTGGTTTTTTGCCAAGTCACTCTGGAGGCTTCTTTCTGGAGATTCTCTTGCTGAATAATGTTTTTCTGAGATGCTGTATCAGGTAGCCCTGCCATGAGGAAGCTTCATGCTGAGTGCTGAGTCTGTTTCTGACATGTGAGGGTGAGCCCTGGATCACATGTGTCCTGCTGAGACTGAAAAAGTGACTCAGCATGTTTAAAATGATGATTATCATTTTTAATGTACTCCAGAAGCCTGTACTTCTGAGGGGTCTCTGACTCGTCTCTACAATATGCGAAGTTCTCTCTCTCTCTCTCTCTCTCTCTCTCTTACACACACACACAAACACACACACACACACACACACACACACACACACACACACACACACACACATACACACACACACAGATGCA